ATAGATATTATTTAAATAATCAATTGTATAATAAACAATATATAAAAAGAACAATTTCTGAAGTATTTAAAAATTTAGCTATTAAAATATTATGTAAATGCTATGATAATAATATTTACAAAAATTTTTAATATTCTGATAATCTATTTAAACGTCGTACGTAATTATTTTGATATTCCAACAACAAAATTATTTTTAAATCTGTTTTTGATTGTATTTTTAGATTTGGCAGCAAAATTGTTTTCTGTGTGAGAACTCACAAAGTTTTGTATAGAAAATTTTATATATCAAGTATAAAAATCAAGTATAAAAATATACTTTAAATAATTTTATAACAACGCAAAAATTTATAGATATTATTTAAACAATTATTATATTATTAAATAATAGATGGAAAGAACAGTTTTGCTGATACATCTAAAAATTTGATTACTAAAATAATTATATAAAATATGATAATAACATTGCAAAAATTTTTAATATTCTAAGTTTAAACATCTATTTAATTATTTTGATTCCACGAAATTGTTTTCAAATTATTTTTATATCTATTAGCATTTTTAGATACTTCAGCAAAGATGTACTTTCTGTATGAATTTCTTTTCATATTAAGTATATATTTAAACGTATAATTTGTATTAAATTCATGCACCTGATAGCAATCATAATTGCTACTATCAACACAAAGTGACGACCGGCAAAGTATTAAATCAGATTAGCATGGATTTAATTCATAGCGTTGTGCACGATCGTCGAGCACTTTCTCGATTATCCTATCATCCTTGGTCGTTACCGACGATCGAACAGCTTCGTTTCTTTCGTTTCTTTCTTTTCTCCAATTTTGCACGTCAACGAGCTTATGTAAAAGCCTTCACGAGCGAGGAGAAGAAAAGCCATCGCGATGAAGAACGACGAGCGTGGCGAGACGCGACGAATGACGGTCTCGATGATTTGGTATGATTTCTATTTACGGCTCGGCGATCTCCTCGATTGCAGATCGAAGTTTTGGTTACGGTGATTTCACGTACGAATAGATACAATCTACGCTCGGCTGATCTTCCCGGTCTGAGAAGATTCGGCTGCGGTTATCCCGCCGTTGGTTTCCGCAACGGGCTGCTTTTAAACAAATCACTTATTCGTGGCGGATAATTAGCATGCTAGAATTATGTCAAAATCGTAGATATTTACAAATAAAATATACAAAAAGAACACTTTGTATTAAAGTAATAAAAATTTGATCAGATTTAAAAATAATTTTGTTAAACCATTAAAATAATTTTAATCTTGTATTGCATTGTATCTCTTAATTTAAAATGTTTTTTTCTTGATTGAAAATAAAACACTTTAAATTACGTGCTACGTAGTACACGATTAAGAATGTATGATTTTTAAACTGTTTACTAAAATATAAAAATGTTTGCAGTATTATTACTTAGCTTAAACTTTCTACATAATTTTGGTCCAACAAAGTTATTCTTGTTTATATCCGATTAAATTATTAGATATTTTAGCAAACTTCTATTCTTTTTATGTATAAAATATGAAGATTTAAAAGTATCTAAAAATGCAAATGTTTTTCAAATATTTTTTGAGATATTTCTTTATCATTGACATAGACATTATTATATTTATTTGTTTTAAAAATTGAAAAACTATTTAATTATCTTTAAATTAAATTAAAGATATTAATTGAATTTGGATATTGAACGATGTTACAGGAGGAAGTGCCGTGAGACGATGGATAGTAATGACTGGGTTCTTCTTCCTCGGATGTGCCTTAGTGGCCGGTGTAGGTCTACCCCTCGCCTTGGAACTCCGAAGTTCTCATCTGCTGGAAGCCAGATTGCAGGTGGTCCGAAGAATGCTCTCAGAGACTCCACTGATCGATGGGTAACAGTTGTATCTTACGTATAAATTAACAGAAAACATACTTCACTCTGAATTAAAATAGATCTCTAAAAATAATCTCTCGGTTACGAAATTTCTTGGAGAAGTTTATTCTGAGGCTTTAGTGCCAAGACTTTGTCAAATAAAGAGGATTCCGTTCAATCAGAATATTTTCTTTGAAAAAAGAAAAATAAAGAGAAAAGATGCTAGAGATGCTATTATCACGCACGAATCATCTGTCAGGCACAACGATTTCGCTTGGAACTTGCGCAAGCACCGTGGCAGCACAAAACTGGATAACTTCCCCTTCGACGAGGATCTGTCGCGCAACAGCAGCTGGGGTCCTCAATGGCAGACCGATCTAATCCGCTTGGAACAGGGGATCGTCGGGGCGCAATTCTGGTCGGCCTATGTACCATGCGAGGCACAGTTCCTCGACGCCGTGCAACTCACCCTCGAGCAGATCGACATCGTGCGTCGACTGACGTCACGCTATCCCAAACGCATCAGGCTGGTGAGGACGAGTGGCGAGCTGGAGAACGCACATCGGGACGGGGTGATCGCCAGCCTGGTGGGAATAGAGGGTGGCCATAGCATCGGCACCTCCATGGCGGTGCTGAGGAGCTTCCATCGACTGGGCGCGCGTTATATGACACTGACCCACAAGTGCAACACTCCATGGTGAGTTCGACCATCGGGAGATTAACGTCTCTATGCTCGCGAGACGCGCTCATGAGCGTTGCACGTTGTAATAGCGGAAAGGAGTGAACCTTGGAAGAGCAAATTGCCATCTTGTATTAGCTAATGTTCGCTTTCACATCGCGCGGCTTATGTTTACCTTAATCGTTCGAATTGTTTGATGAGTATTTTGACGTTTATTGCATCAAGCAATTGACTCATCGAATTAAATATAATTAAATTAAATAAGTAACATCTTGGTTCTGTCGCAGGAAGCTATCGCAATTTTCGCATCCGTGTGATCTCAAAAAGATCAATTGCGCTCACATTTTTTCTGCGTTGAATTTTTCGTTCGGATTATACGAGAGATTTTATTTCCAGGGCGGATTCGTGCTCCGTAGACGATCCGAACTCGGACGCACCCTCCGATTTTCACAGCGATGGTCTCTCGCCGTTCGGCAAGGCGGTTGTTCGGGAATTGAATCGACTCGGTATGCTCGTAGATCTTTCTCACGTCTCGGTGAGGACGATGCAGGATGCCCTCGCAGTGACAAAGGCGCCCGTTATATTCTCGCACAGCGCTGCCAAGGCTCTCTGCAACTCTTCGAGCAACGTCCCGGATGATGTGCTGCGGAATTTGGTAAGAAAGAGGAAATTTTCCCCTGGAATTCTTATACATGGATGATTAAACGAGCATACATTGAAATAATTGCAATAAACATTATGGAATTTATCAAAGATAAATTTATTTATTTCTTTGACTTTAAATCTCTCAATCAAGCATCTTATATTTTATTGCCTGAAGAATCAATTTTCTTTAACATTAAAATTTTTCATCAATTACTTTTTTATTCTGATGGAGTATTAAAATCACAAAATTATCACAGAATTCTATATTTTAATGCAAAAAAGAGTATTCATTTAAAAAAATAGAAGTGGACAAAATGTAGTACTTAGAATTTTCATTGTTCATTAAATAATCTTTGTTATAATTTTCAAGTTGAATTTGTCTGCCTAAAATTTTTAATTCTTTTTGAAAACAAGAAATTAAGTGACGTTTATTGTGGTGACACGATGTTTACTTGAGGATTAATCATTGCGGTTTTCATCTCTGTTTCTTCTAGTCTCTCAACGGTGGTCTGGTTATGGTCAGTTTCGACAGCGCGCATTTGAGCTGCGGCGATAAGGCCTCTATGTACGACATCATAGGTGCGTAAGTAACACGGCGCGAGAAACATCAAAAAGATCGAGCGTCGAAATTGTAAACGTCAAGATAAGAGATGAACCGAGACACAACGCCTGTGTTTTTACAGCTCACATCAATCATATCAGACGGACAGCTGGCGTGAACCACGTGGGCCTCGGTGCGGGTTACGATGGAATATCGAGGTAATTAAAGACGCCAACACTATCATATCTTTATTGTACATTGGTAACACCGGCAGCACTAATGCATCTTCGTGGAAATTACGTAACACAGTTGCTTTTCAATAATTTTCCGAGCAACGGCTAACGATTTTGTTTGGCTTTACCTATTTCTTATTTGCAATTATTTAAAGCTCTCAAAACATCTCTTTATAATAATTTCCAATAATTCCGCTAATTTACCTTATTACTTTAAAATCAACAAGATGTTGATATCTAATTAATAACTATTTCGAAGAATAAGAATAACATATTAGACAGAACCTTCTGCTTCTTTGCTACGAGAATATACGTTTACGATTGCTCAACCCTCTATCTACCATCTGTGTCTATTAAACTTGCATTTCGTAACGCTCGTCTATACAATGATAGAATAATGATTTTTGCTTTCTGCACGTTTGACGTACGTATATTGATGTACATTATGCCGTTATAAAAGATTATCATTTTATTTTACTCTATTGTTTGCGCTTTCCGTACGGAGATCTGACGGACTTGAGCAATAAAAAGATTAAAAGAAACGTTTGCACTTATTTAGGCCACCGACGGAATTGCCAGACGTTTCCGGTTACCCCTTGCTACTCGCCGAGCTGACCAGAGACCGTAGATGGTCCGCGACAGATATAAAGAAACTTGTGGGCGGAAATCTGTTGCGCGTCTTCAAGGAAGTGGAGGATCACGCGGCGACCCTGTCGCATCAGTTTCCGGCGGAGGAGTGGATCCCTCAAGAGCTCATGGAGGACAGCGCCTATTGCAGATACCACGACACATAGAATCATCTTTTGTTTGATTTCTATGAGGTGTTCTCTCATGTAAAAAGAAACGCACGTCGATCGTCTTTGTACCTGGGGACGCTCCAACTGTTTTACATTTTTAATAAAGTAGCGGTAGATCTTTTTCTCTTTAAAATTCCTAGTCTTTTTCACTCCACGCAGTCACGGTAGGATTATATATAAGTGAAAAATCATTTCTTTCCTCATTTGAAATTCTCTTTCATTGGATGCATTATGATTTGTTTGACGTCAATCGACTACTCACGACTACAACGAACTACTCATTTTCCTGAAGATTCTTCTTCCTGGAAGAAGCTTGCATGTTCATTGGTATTTTACATTAATAACATTGTAATTTAAAGATTCTTGGTACGATACTTAATTTCTTAATATATGATTTTATATATTATTTTGACTATATAACTTTCCCTTTTGAAATCGTTCTTAACTTTGATCGATGCAAAATATCGAATTAATAAATTCGATAAACATGTTTGGAACTGCTTTACGATCGGTCCAGTTGCATCACATTCAATTGCGCTTATGGTCAAAATGGATATTAACAGTTAAGTCAATTTACTTTATCTTACACCTCTCCTCTCCGTGTCTAACGTCACATAATATATGTTGAAGCAATTATTTAATCTCGTACAAACATACATACGGTACGTACACGAGCGTGTACGACGTTACAGCTAACAGAGGCAGACAGGTCACAATATGCCAATTACATCGTTTAATTTTTAACTTGAGGCTTATATTTCAATCGGGGACGGCGCCGTAAATAATCGGGCTTGATCTGCCATTTGAATCCCGTACGGTTCTTTAAGGACAACAAATAGGTTGCGGAAGTTTCGACGCTGTTTGAATTATTCATACTTATCCGTGAGAAGCTATCTCGATAAGACTATTAATAGTCTCTTTGTATACACGTTTTTTCGCGTCGCTCTGATTAACAATTAATCTCAGATTATGATGATAAAATCGTTGAACTTGAAAATCGCTTGCGAACAATTTGCTGGCACGTACCGACTATTTAATAATGAGGAAAATTGTCCCGAGGAAAAAGAAATTATAAATATAAATTTATATTTCATTTTCCAAGTTGCAATAAATAAAAAAAATCTGAAATACCCACACAAGAAAAAGAATCAATCTTGAATCAAGATTATTCTCTATAAATAAGAATAATATAATCTTCTTAGAAAAATTTTAGTTTTGATTTGATTGAATTTATATTGCGAGTATAGATATTTTCATAAAGCCAAAATAATACTTGCATCAATATATAAATTCAATTAAATCAAGACTAAAATTTTTAAGAAAATTATAATATTCTTACTTAAAGAATATTTAAGAACTCTATAAGAATATTGATTTTGATTTAAGATTAATTTTTCTGTGCAGAAGTGAAGTTATTTTTTTCGACGGAAAAATAAGTTTATAGAAGTATAGATATTTGAAATGTAATATAATAAATACTGTAATTATAATATAAATGTAGTAGGTCATCCTACTAAAGCGAGTGGTAGAGTAACAGTTTTGCTGACAGAAACTCTCTTGATGTGATGAAACTTATTTGACATATAATTCGAGCGCATCGCAAACAAGATACTCCTAAATTAAAACGAAGTTCAGTAGGCAATGACTACTGCAGAATGGAGAACTTTACACGCTCTATCTTTCAAACTTCTAACGATGTATTAATTGAAATTCGTGAATTATCAGACATCTTTATGTTAGTCACGTGCATTTTTTAAATGTCAGAGATTATTACTTCTAGCACTTTCTACGATAGATAAGAACAAATTAATTCTAATAGGATACTCTGCAGACTGTCGCAGACGCGCTAGTTCTTACATTTTTCAGAAATCGTGAAAGTACTGCATTGATAGATACGACACGCATCGAGCTTTTACTTTCGTTGTTGTTAAACTTGTTCTCGCGATCTGGGTCATGTGCAACGGTAGCAATATTTTTGCTTTTGAAAACAACCGGAGAAGCATCACTCGATTATTTTCTTCTCTCGAAGCGTTGCCCAATAGTCCGATCGTAAGCGTATTCAACGAAGTGCATCGTGTCGAGTTTTGGGCCTTGTTGACGGAAAAGTAAATTGTTCGATTACATTTCATAATGGTTTTTTACGCTCGATTTGTTATCGTATTCGATTGATTACGTCGAAACAAAAAAAAACGCAATTAGGTATTGTTTCCTGACACTGACATAAGGTCCGTCATCTAAACCGCAACTTTTTACTCTTCTCAAGATCTCTTCTCCCTCTAGAGATTGCGAATGGAGTTGCAAAATGCTGGATAAAGAAATCATATTAAAAAAACATCATATTTATAATTCTATAGCATATAGAAAAATTAAAAAATTTTAAAATAAAAAGTTAATTGCTAAAAGTATCAGTATGAAATAAACATAAACTTTCACTGTGAATGGTCATTTTACATATACTTAACATATAATATTTAGATAAAACTTCTCTGGAATCAATATAATTAAATCTTATCCTGCTTCATCTGAACCTCAAAAAGAAAATTTCATTAAAATATTTGAAAATTTAATCAGATGTAAAATTTAATAATAACTTTATTGAGCCATTATAATAATTATTTCAAACGTTCAAATTAGTTACTAAAAATTTTTACAATATTATCATCACATTTAACTATCATTTAACTATCATTATTTAACCTATATAATAATTTTTAATATTCCAACAAAATTATTTTCAGATCTGCATCTGACCAAAAAGTTGTTAAATATTTTATAAAGCAAACTCGTTCTTTTCGTATGATAATCCTCTTACAGTGGGCTTTAAAGAATCAATAATCTATATATTATCGATATTAAACGGCATAATGTTGAATTCGCGTGATTATATATCGCGTTTCTATGGGCTAAAATTTTCCAGCTACACTCACATTATTCTTTGCGAGTTCTTCTTTTCGGACCGATATTTAATTTATACGTGACTACGCGTCGCGCTTTGACGGGCTGAAATACATCTCTTTTCAACTGGCGACGATTTTCGCCAGTTTCTCTTTTCGTCGCGCCATCAGCGTCCACGCGACCGGAGCGTTCGCCAAGAAGCGAGCCACCGCGGAGATGAGGATGCGCATGCTGGCCCGACACGACCCACGCGCTCGCGAGGCCGAGGGGAGCACACGGTCGGGTCAAAGAGGCCAAGATAAATTGCAATCTAATCCGCGGGAGTAAGCCGGGGCCAATTAAGATTCGTTGCGCGTCCGCAGGAAGAGAGGAGTGGCGCCGCGCCGTGTGTGCCTGGAACACGATGCGCGGCACGGCGTGCTGTACACCTCCCACCTCCGAGGCCTTGCGGCAAATGCTGATGGACTGTAAAATCCTCGTCTCTTTTAAAACGTGCCGCCGAGGAAACGCGAAGATCTACGACGCGGACCGATCAGGATCGACAGCACCGATGTGCGCCGTCGTTGAGCGCCCGCTCGGTCCGAAGTATTTAAAAAAAATTTTTTTCGCGCAAATTTGGATGGTATTTTTGATCACTATATGTATAAGGATTATGATGTCAGTATCATCTTGGTTAAGACTTTTAAGATTATTTATGAATTTTTGAATTGACATATGTGATAATGCATTGTAAAAAAGAATAAGATTATTGTCATAAACATTTTAGAAAACAGGATAAATTTAATAAAATTAATAAAGATATAAATGATACAACAGAAAAATTAAATTCTAATAGAGATTTCTTTAACGGAAATTTATTTCTGAAACATACAATTTTTGTACAAAAAACATAATAAAATTGTCAAATAATCTATAATGTGCTAAACAATTTTATAAAAACAATTTTATAATTAAAATGATGTACACTAAAATGTGTACTTCATGTTGTTGATGACGAAAATAACACAATTTTGAATATATAGCATCGACAGAACTAACACGCGAGGAATTTTTTTTTAATTAAAAGAAGCGATTCGTAGGGGAGCCTCGTTAAACTGCACACCGCACTCAATCCGCTCCTGATGGAACATCGTGGCGCGGAAATAGTGGGGGATTCGAAGATTAGAGTCACTCCTCCGCAAGCCGAAACTTCAGTTTAGTTTACTAGCGGTCCTCGAGTTGTAGCCTCTGCCGCAGCCGGCACACGGAAACGCTCGTAGCCGTCGAAAAATAGAAAGAAACGAAACGCAAAAGGAAAAATAAAGCAGAGTCCGTGCGAGTCGCGAAGCGATGACGTGAAGCGGCTGCGGCGACAGAGGAAAACAAGAATCGCGAATCCGAGAGGAAGAGTCGCATTTTCATTTCGAAACGTTCGTTTTTCGTACCGAATCTATTCCTTTTCACTGCGGAGAATTCAGGCGGCACGTAGAACGAATTTATTACGATTTTAATATGCGTTTATAAGAAGATTTATCGAGGGAAGCTGTGAACAGGTGAGTGTCAGAGATTGAATTTCTTGATAAGCTTTTCTGAGGAGATGAAGCATTTATAATTTGACAAATAAATGTATAACGCATTTTATTTGTTATGTTATATTAAATTATATTCAAGTGTAATTTTAATTTAAAAAAATATAATTTATTTTGCAAGATTTCTTTTAAAAATAAACTAAAGAAATGATTTTAAACTCCTTTTTAATAAGCATTTTTTATAAAATAGAAAAAAAAGAAAATAATTTCCTTTTTAATAATAGAAAATAAACATTTTTGATGTTTATAACTTTTTGATAATTGATTTTTTTATAAAATCATTATGTAGGATTTATTTACTATACGAGACGTTAAATTTTCCGAGAGTGCACGTGGTACATGAAACAATTTTATATTACACTCGCGATGTGAGTAATGAACGCTAAGAGGGGTCAAAGGTCTTTCTGCAAGACATAAACTTCTCTAATCTTGTTATATATAACTGTCTATTGGTAGTGACACACATAGTTCAGCTGCATGATTATACATATATGACGCATGCTAATGTTTTCTAAAACATTATCACAATACATTTGTATATGTACGTTATCACGATATATGAAAACAGATATGAACACAGATTTGAATTTACAACGAAAAAAAGAGAATTATCATTTTTAGAAATTAAAAATCTTCACATTACATGTATAAATAATAATTAATTGTAGGAATAAAAGAAAAAAGGAGATATGAGTTTGTTCTTTTTTTAATCATATTTATATTTTTATAAAAAGATTTGGTTCCTTTTTATTCTATAAAAAAATATTAACTGGAATTTATGTAAAGTTTATCTTATAAAATTATTTAAAATGAAAGTATCTCTTGTAATATAGAAATCCAAGATGAACTTTTTAGGCATTGTTTAGCGTAGCAAACCACAAAGTTTGATATGCTTGCCTTGCGATTATCGTTCTTCAACTTCACGTTCACTCAAGGCAATGCTATCATAATACAAATAATCCTTCATTTTTCCTAAAGTTCTTGTAATTTTTTAATTTATCAATTAAAAAATGTCCTTTCTTTCTCAAGAAGAAATATATGACACAAATATATAAAACACATCTCGTTAGTAAAAAAATTTTTATTTTTTCTATCATGTGAAGCTTTTATTATTAAAATGTTTTTCTATATTATAAAGTGCACTAATCGATTAATCTAAGTCGGCGATATAAAAGAAGTTGCGAAAAATATAATTGAGAAAGTACGCCGCGCAAGATTAATAGTGTGCCTTCAATGCCAAAAGCGTACCTCCGGTACCAAATTGCCTTCTGGCAGGATGCCAGGAGAGTACTTGCATCAACTCGCTTTAAAAGAAATTAAATTTCGGATTTACGCGATCATCCGCAGTGGGAAACGAACGGCGCGTTTCTTTTAACAAGCATTTCGAGTTTATGAATAGATTTTAAAACGGATGCTGCACACTGCAATCCCTCGTGGGTTCCTCGATGTATAAAGAGACTGTTTCTCTTAAAAATTGCCGAGACTGTCTGTTTATATCTTCAACATCCTGTAAGCTTTGATAAGATTCATATACTAAAATATTCGTGAGATAGCATCTTTCTGCCGACTAGCGAATACTCGAATAACAATATTGAGTTCTTATTCCGGAGTAATCATTATGAAAATTCTGCGTTTAAAAAGAAGCAACTTTAATAATAAATAAAACAATTTTAACTCATTTATCAATAATAAATCTCGAAATAGTTTAATGATAAATGTTACAATCTTCTATATTCATTTCAAATGTACTGTGATCATGCGACATGACATGTACTGCGACCATATCGTTTGCCTATATTATAATTGCAAGTTCTCAAAATATACTTAGAACATTTACATATATCATTTATTGTATTTTCTCAGGACGTACAAAATATCCACGCAATGTAATCATATATTTTCAGGGCGAAACTTGAAAATTTTCTTGTTATATTATTATCCAGCGGTTTCCGAGTTTTCAAATTTCGTCCTGAGAATAAAACAATTTTAGATACAGATAAAATTGAACAGATAAAATGGATAGAACAGATAAAATTAATATTGATATTATTATTCAGCGGAAACTGCTGTTTATATCTTCAACATCCTGTAAGAGCTTGTGTGAGAATTCGTGGAATTTAAAAGAAATTAGATTTGATAAAACATTTTAATTGACGATTATTATTCGATAAGCTTTTGTGCTGGATCACTTTTACGGTTCGTTACACGTTGGAAAAGTGACTTTGCATCTGCCATGTGCAATTATTTTCTTTCATTTGATAATCCTCGACAATCCGCGAGTGCTCCATTTCATATCAGGACGGCAACGTGTCGCAAACCGTGGACATTTCGTTGCGCAAGAGAGTAACCGTACCCATAGTTATCCACTTCAATATTGTATCTTCGAACGTTAACCGTGTTAAACGGTCGAAGATGAGCGTACGCAAGCGGTTGCACCAGCGCGATTCCTTTCGCACGAGACGCGTGGCGGCAGATACGATTAGTGGATGCGAAATCGAAAGCATCGCGGTGCGAGGCAGGATCGGATTTAAACGGCGAGGCGCGACGCGTGATGCGCGAGCCTCAAGGACATGCGAGCGAATCACGTATCTCGAACAATAATTATGTAAACGCGATTTAATGAATTGAGAATTAAGCGCGTTGTAAAAAAAGGAGCATTATGCGGATCGTTCGAAAAGACGTAAATACAAGAGATCGATAGATCTCGTGAAGACACGCGAAACACGGAACGCGAATAGAACGCGTTGCGATGTGGAAACGTAATGAGAAAAATCAAAGTGAAGACATAAAAAGACGCTTGAAAAATAGACTATTTTTCTTACCAAGGTATAAGTATTCACAGACTGAAAGTACAAATAGTTAATTAAAATATTTTAATACTAGAATATTTTAACACCTGATAGAAAATACAACATGAATAATTTATTCACGGCTGAATCTTGGTGACAATAATAATAATTATTATTATTATTCTCTATTCATTTTTTCTTTCCATTCTCTCAAAATTTAAGGCTTTTTTTCTTCAACTTCGATAAAAATGAAAACTAATTATTTAAATGAAATCGACTCATTCAAGTATCTTTCCGTTTTCCTCTGCCGCATGCCGGGAACACTGGCAATTTTTCATATTGTATTTCTAGAACGTGCTAGCGACTCGGTTGCATGCTCGGCGTGCATGCGTTTCTTCAGCGCCGATCCTGAGCGAGAGCGGCTGCGTGCCGCACGCTTTCATCGATCCGCCGAGATGCATCCGATTTAATAATGATTTCGCGATTTCACGGTGCAATTTCGCGCGCACAAAAGGGAGTGAATCGCTAACGCGATTAGACGGGACGTGCGTCTTTTCCGCGCGGCTTAACGCGCTAATCGAGGAAGATCCTCTCGTTTTCAGGCCTCGTCGCATCCTGCGTGAGGAGCCTCTCGTGGAACATTCCGCCCGATTACGTTCTAACAGGCCGACGTTTTGACGTGACGTAAATGAAAAAAAAAAAGAAAAAAAGAAGCTGTCTGCTCGCGCGGCGGTGTAACAATGAAGTTCTAAAACGCATTAATTGTACACGTGTGCGCGGCAGCGCGTGTCTGCTCTCGGTGGAAACGAAAGCGTTTTGAGGGACAATCGAGCCATCGAGCGGCGCGCGATTCGTTAACCGGTTAATGTACCATGTCAATCCCAGAAGGATGAATCATTATGTGAAGTAGCGGGCACATCCGCGCCGCCGAAGTCCCCGCATCCGGTAAAAGTCGACGTCGCTCATCCGTTTCTTCTTTTTCAACTCTCGGCGGAATTTGCATGCTGGGGCTGACGGCTCGCGTCCTCGCCACGTTCCGCCGTGATTTCGCGCCCTCGAAATGACTCTCTTTCTTTCTGATGTAAATCGAGGGAGCGCGAACGCTTCATATTCCGCATGACGCGTCAGGACATACAACAATCGCGAACGTAAAAACTGAATAAATCCATGTCGAAAGAGATGAACTTCTCGGGAAGCAGACAACGACGTGGCGACGTCGTTGTCTTCCCCGGAGGATACGCGCGCGATCACAAAAGAATCGCGACAAACGAAGAAAGAAAGAAAGGAAAAAAGAAAAAGACAAGAGACGTTCTGTCATTCAATGCAAAGCAGGTGATTCACTGGTCGCTGTCACATTCGCATCGGTGGAGACACGCATGGACATTTTTAATAATAATTCATCTCGTTCTTTTCCAGACAAATCGGTCGAGAGGATAGAGGACTGAGAATCGAGAAGGACGAGACGGCGAGGGAGACGCAAGGATGAGATACAAGGTGAGGCACGCAGCATGCTTCCTCATACGTTTATGGGGACAAGCATGCCGATAGAGACGGGGATAAGCCATTGATTCGAGAAAGCCATTGTGCCCGGCCGTCTCGTCAGGCTCCCATTAAAATTCAGCTGCCTGTCCTTTAATCAATTTGGTGCTCGGCTTTTCCTCTTGCGAAAACGTAATGTCCGCGGATTTATCTATCTTGTGCAGATACACACGCGACTCTTGTGTAACGCATCTACTCGGATACAAAAAGCTATAATGTTATGTCTACATATTTTAGAAAATGAAAGCTCATGTACATATTTCTATTTTTTGTAATAAATCCAGTGCACTGGAAAAAGAATTAATCTTAAATCAAGACAAACATTCTCATGTATAAACAAGAATATTATAAAGTTAAAAATTCTAATCTTGATTTGATTGAATTTGTATTGATGCAAGTATTACTTTTGCTTAATTCAAACTAAAAATCTTCTATATGAAAATTATAATATTCTTGTTTATATATGAGAATATCTATATTTGCATTAATACAAATTCAATAGAATCAAGACTAAATTTTTTCTAAGAAGATTATAATATTCTTGCTTATATATGAATATATAGTTTGAATTTAAGACTAATTTTTTTCTGTATGATTGTCTTTTCCTCGAAAATTGATTTTCAAGATTAACGCGAGTATTTCGCTTTACGATTTCTCTCATTCACGAATGAAAGCTGACTATGAATACATTTCGAGCGAAAGACAACAACATCGAGAAATTTCACGCTTTTGATGCTTGAAAAAGATGTTTGAGAAGATTTCTGATAAATTAAATAAAAGAAAAGAATAAAAAATTTGTCATTACACAATGACAAATTATCAATAAGGAACTTTCATAAATTCTTAATATGAATATACGAATCTTTTTTATTTTTGTTTGTTGATAAAAATAATTTTAGATCGTGCACAAAGATTCAGATTGACAAAGAAACGCGTAGTAAAGCTGCGGAATAAAATCGTCTCCAAATCGAAGAATGCGTACTTGAAATTTGATGCAAATCCTACGTGTTTGTATAATCGTCTCGTTTTACATTCAGCCCGTGTCAGGAAGCCAACGTCGCGCAATTGAAAGTGATTTATTTAAATCAATTCTAATTGATGAATGTCGAAGGATTATCTCTCATATTACCGATGAATCTTTATCTCTGGAACATTGAATTAATTCACGGATCTGTATTTGATACGATTTGTTTCTGTAATCTGTATCTTTAGAAGATCAGACTTTAGAAGAAAAAAGATCGAAGAGAAACTCGAAAAGCTGCAATTATTAAACTATGTAATTATTGAGTTGATTAATTTGCAAATAGTCCCGTTCCATCTGTTGACAGTTTCCTTTTCAGTTGTCACACAGCTCCTTCCTTCGCTGTCGGCATCCGAGTGTCTCGTTTCTTTTGTGACACGTGTCTCGATCTGCATAAAACACAATACATCTACGCATCCGTTGGTTATTTATTACTGTTCCACAATGCGTAAGGCGATCTATTCCACGCAAATGATTGCGGTTCATTTCGCACTATTGTTGTAACGTCACGAATGGAAATCTCGGAGCGGAATGCTCGCGCGACGCAAAATCGAGGAACAATTATAATTATTAAAAAATAATACCAAATAATATGAATAATAGTCTTTTATATTTTATGATATGCGGAAATCGTGTATGAAAATAGACAAATATTATTTGACTAATCTTCAATTTTTCGATTATTTTCGACTGATTAATTTATGTCACGACTATCACATTGTAGTTATTTAAAACTTTACAGTTACATATTAAATAAATTTTATTTTTATTGTGCGATCACGAATTTTCGACATGCAATAAATCAATCAATGCTTTTTTTTCTTAAATCCAATTAAGAGGAAAAAGTGAACTGCCGTGTTCGATTATACTTCGTTAGAAACCGCAAGTAGTCGAACATTGCTGAAACCAATTCTGGTTTTCTTACTTGACGGAAAAAGAGGTCAATCGCGTGCAGGTGAAGGATAATTAAAATAAGACCAGTTGCTAACATCGAATATCACATTTTATTCGTGCTCGAGGCAGATAAAGCGATACCATTTATGGTGATTATCTATTATCCTTGTTTGCAGCATGGCTATGCAATTTTTTTTGTTTTTAAATTGAAGTTAAATTGAAGTTTCTTCAAATAGAAATGAATCATAAATAACACAGACAAAAAAATGCACCAACAAAAATTAAAATTGAACTACGTATTTTGACACAAAGAAAGGAAGAACAATGGTCAAAATTATGAACTAATTAAAAGACGGAAAGTTAAATATATTTATTCATAAAATTATTAAAAAGGAATAGAATATATATATATATATATACATATAAATATTTTAATTATACCTTAATCTTTCTCAGTATGAGAATATATAAAAATGAAATAAACAAAAAATAATAATATGTCACGTCGGTTAACTAAATGAAATTATTAATTACAGATGGACACAAGTCACAAAGAAGAAAAAACACACAAGAAAGCAATAATCTCATTAAATCTCATTACAATAAGAACTGTTATTGCCTTGAATTGGAGGTGTAACAGACTATCATTATAATTAAATATTAATGTAATGAGATACTGCTCTCTTGCGTGTTTTTTATTATGAGTGTCCATCTGTATCCATTTGTATTTTGTGTCCATCTATAATTAATAATTTCATTTAATCAATCAACGTGAGTGACATATTATCATTATCATTTTTTATGGTTCGGCTCACCGGTTGGACTTAGGGATATATTCTTACTACATTTTTGTATCACTGAATATGATTCAAATTCGAGTCAAAACGTACGGCTTTTTCTATTAATAAACATAATTAAGATTAAACATAACTGCGCACTGTTACAATGATTCTCATTAGCTATATTATTATCCATTTTTATTATATCGAGAAGCTTTTTTTTGTTAATATAAGAAAATAATGATTTTGAAATTCTTGATTTTGACGAATAACTCGAGTCAAGATAAAGTTATCAATTTTTTTTCACATAAAACAATCACATTGTTCAGTCTCTATTTCTTCTTCTCATAAACTTCTTTCTTTGTCTATTCGTCTTGTCTAATCGGCTTTTTCGTTATCTGTGATACGGTTCGCAAATTGGCTCCATATTCCAAGGAGATCATCACAGAAACGATGATTGTTCCTTTGATGGAGAAAAAAGTGGGCGGAAGAAGTGGAGCGTACGGATAAATCCGCGAGCCGGCAATCGGCGCGGCGCAACGAGTCGAGATTCGCTCGAGAAATTTAAGTCAATGGCAAGAAGAGCACTTGAAATGAATTCATTCCACGAGCCCTTCTCTGGAAGTCGTTAAACGACGATTACGCGTCCCGCGTGGTCGCAATTGCAATGTCAGAAATACCAGATACTGGTCGCTCCGGATGATCAACGCGGCGATACTGGATAACGAGGACGATAGATAACGCGAAATAAAAAGCGAATCACTTTTCGATGAAACAATCCAGTCGAAACCACCATCTCATAAATCTCATAAACGCGAGACTCGCGAAAGTTAGGATGTGTGCGATCAGAGATCTGTGGAACCAAGGATCCATGAAACTTTACTTTTGCGAAAGTAAAGATTTACGTAGCGGGACTTTCCTCTCTTATCCACGCTCCTAAGAAGATTGTCTGCTAGTCGTAGGAGAGCGAAATCGCCACGCGGGAACAATTTCGATGAACGTGAGCGATGAGAAAGAGAGAGAGAGAGAGAGAGAGAGAGAGAGAGAGAGAGAGAGAGAGAGAGAGAGAACGAAA